AACGGTGGGCCCTAACGGAGCGGTCCTACGGAGGGACCTGCTCTGAATACCATCTTAGAAATAACGGGCAAGAATGATGGACTATGAATGTGAGATGATTACAAGTAGGTCCAACCCTAAAGTGTTGTACTCAGTAGAGGCTACCTTACTACAGCCTACAGACATACAAACACAGTTTGACATTAAGATGCAAAGTTTATGAGAAGCATACGGAGCAGACAATTTTAAGTCAGCAAGCCAAGCAAAAAAATGTGTCCTCTACATTTCTCTACAAGGAAAAACCGGGATGGTTGTTTGATAATTTTCTCGAATACTTGTAATTACTGATGGTTTCATGATTTTTTTAATCATAAAATTATATCATGAAAATCCATCATGTGTAGTACATAATATCTTGGATGTTTGGGGACTCAGATCGATCTCATAGATGACGTGCACCTGTCATTTTTACATGTTGTAAAACAGACACTAAGTGAGAGAAGTTAAACTATAAGTGCCTTCGACTGTTTACAATAAGCCATTTTGCTACAAAGTTACTGTATTCCAGTCCATGATTTTTTGAAGTTATTATTTCCACCGCCGTATGCGGCAGCCAGTAGAAATTCTCGGAACGCGGTAGAGGTCCAGAATAAATTCGGGATCCCCATCCACAGTGGCAGATTGATTCTGGGCTCTTGATTGTCCATATGTTCAATTTTCAACGCGTCACAGGATTTTCTTCCAGACCGGGCAGCTCGCAAAGTGCATTATTACTGTCGAATTATAACCGAAATTCCATAATTCACATTTTTCAGCTCCGGAGTAGGGCTTTTAGTTCGTTTTCAAGGGACCCTGACAGATCCGAGTTGTGACAAGGCTCACCCTGCCACTGCAGTGTGCCAGACGCAGCGTAGCCAAAAAATTGCAGGGTGAGCTAGAAGAGAAGTGGGCTGCAAATGAAGGGTGCTTACGATATGTTTTTAAGAGGCGCAAGTTTTAGCAGGGTGCTTGTTGTATCCAGCTCGGGGTCGGCATGATTTAATTGCAAAAGCAGGGTGCTTTTCAAGCCATGTCAGGAAAGCAGTGCGGTACCTTCGGGAAATGCAGTATTTGCAAATGGAGTAAACTCAGTCAGGAAAACAGGCCAAACAGGGTAAAACGCCCTTCCGTCCTGAGCCCTGCTTCAGCAGCCCAACCCAGACAGAGTCGTTGCGAGTGCTTTCGCGCATTGCACGGCGGTAGGCCGCGATTGACACCACCTCAGTTATTGCGACTCGTTTCTTGGACCACGCTAGCAGACTCATCCCGCCTATAAATCCCGCCACTAAACATGCTCTAACCATCAGTCTCAAAACCTATTCTAACGCTCAGATCTTAATCTCTCCCAGCTAGTCAATCAAGTTACAACGCCATGGCTCACTCCATTTTCTCCTTCGGCCTCGCGCTCTTCCTCGCTGCAACCCTGCATCACGGAAAAGGGTTTTGGCCCAAAGTCGATTTTCTGCAACTTCGGTGGCCGACCTTGCTGGAAAGTTGAGGAAACGTTTGCTGAAAGTATCCGAAAAGCTGTGAGGTGAAAACTGCAACTTTCTCCAATTTCGGATACTTTTGGTAGCCGAGCCGCGCATTTTGGAAACGAGGGGTAACCGAACCGCGATTTCTAGCATCAATTGCCTCACACCCAATGGCAACACCCGCATTTGGTTTTCGCGCCTTGGGAAACGAAGCGCATGTGCTGAATTGGTGGGAAATCCGCGGCTCGACGAGTGAAAATCACTCTTCACCCCAACTTTGTCCATCACTGGAAAGTTGCAGTTTTGAGCTCATCCATGGCCCGTGTCCCAAATTGCGGGCCGCGCGGGTCAAGCTTTTAAAACTTGAAGAAGTGGGCTGTGCAAGCTTTGAAAAGAAGCGCACCTGCAATTTGGAACTTTCGAGGTCTGACACACCCACAAGGGTAAAAACGAGGGGCTGGCTGGGTTTGGTGAAAAAAACGAATTTGACGAAATCAGAAACACTCGCCAAAGCCCAAACTACCAAAACTCCCTCACGTCAACTTTTTAAAACTTGTGCAATTTGGGTCAACGGCTTTAAAAGTAACTTTTCTGCAACTTACCAGCAGCCTTTCCGCAATGCCTTTTTCGCGATGTGGCGCTCTCTTTTGCCCAAGGTACGGGCCGTACTACTCTCATACCGTCGCGAAACCGGCCCTGTGGTTGAATTCCTCGCGCCGCGCTTGTGCATTGCATTTACTCTATCCTCAGTTGTGTCTCTATTGCAGCCCACTCACTCCCACACGACACACCCGTGTGACTAAGTGACTTAGTTCAACGCGATTTCCACATACAATCGCTCGTTTTTCCACTCCCAAGGCCATGGCAGCTCAAAAGCAGCTTAAACTCTTGTCTGAACGCATCTTGGTACTTGCTCGTAAATCGCACGGAAAGTGAGCCCCGCTCTGCCTGATTCGTGACTCCCTCCTCCCTGCATCGACCAAGCCATCCATAACGTCCTCCCCCCAATACCCTCAATCCTCCGCCAATCCCCTCAATCCGCCCCCCCTCCCCGCCTGCCTCTCACTCCTGTCAGTCTGTCCAATCATCCCTCTGCCCAGACTCCTCCGCTTAACATTCTCTCTGCCCCTCACTCCTCTCACTCCCCTTAACCTGCCCCTACCCTACCAGCAACGAGCGCGGCGAGAGGCGTCGTTGCAGCAGAAAACGCGGCGAGTATCACCCAGCCCAACGAGGCCCGCGAGCAGCGCCACCGCAAGCTCCAGACTGGCCCAGTCTCTCCGGGAGAGAAGAAGACGTCTGGTGGTACGATCATGAGGCTGATACAGTCTACCAGTACGGTCTACTAGTAGTACGGTCTACTGATAGTACAGTCTACTAGTACGGACGATCCAAACGCAAAATGAAATATTAGGTCCACTCTCGTTTCCTCTCTGTGCGTTCAAAACGCAAAAATTTGCCGAGTCGGCTTTCGAGACGGCTCTTTTTCTCTGAATGTTTGTGCCTTTCCATGCGGATTCACTTCGTGCCGCTTAATGCAGAATTGTGAGCCGGCATCTTCCATTTTCCAGCAGCAATGAGACTAGGCCTGAAGATTCATTTCCCATGTTTCCTCCAATTCCCTATCCTGCCTGCTGCCCCACTACGCGGTGCGTGTCATCACCAGGCACGCCATGCAGTGTTGTGGCCACGCGGACAGACAGTTCCTGCTCTGGTTTGCTGAGGTGCCTTCAAAGTCTGCATAGGCAGCGTCAGGACTGTGGTCTCGCGCCACCTACCCCGTGGGTACGTCACAGACATATGGTGGACGGTCTGTCACGTGCATCCCTTCCCTTGCTTCGTTCAGGTTTCTCACTCTCACATGCCATGCAATCTGGTTTGTCACTCTCACATGATGCGATGGCATCGCATGCCAGATGTCCACTCCAGTACAAAGTAGACCACCTCACCCTGTGTGCACCTTCTGTGGAATTTCCCTTGCTCCCTTCCCTTGCCCCTCTCAGCGTCCTGCCCCGTTGCGAGACAACCGCCCACAAGACGACTTACTGGTGCCTTGAGTTGGCTCCCCTTATCGAGAATTTACTTTGATCCCCAGAAACCCTCGTGTGATGGTGGTTTTCTGATGATTCTTCGGCTTCTTGCTAGTGTTTACTTGTGGCTGCTTGTGTCGTATTGTGTTTATCCCATGCGGTGAGTGGGTGCTTAGGAGAGGGAACGTCTCGATATTTTGTACTTGGATGTGATTCTGACTTATACTGCGATTATATGTGTACCTGATATTTGTAAAAGCTTACAATACACCCCTGCTTTTGCCTATACCACCTAGTGGCCAGTTCATCGGGGTAGGGTAATGACTAGATACCAGAAGAGCATGCGAAACCAGCAACACACAAATCTTTTGCTGGTTATTTCGTACTGTTTTCTTGAGTCCACATGGTTTAAAATGTGACCTCTGCCAGCCAATGCTGTGCAAAGCCCAACCCAGCATAAAGGATGCCCTGTGAGGGAACCCTTGGACTGACTCAATATTTGTGAGTGTTCCATATTGGCCTTCTTTGGCACATATTGGCTTGCCATGTATTCATGCCTTTTGTCCACATGGTATGGCCCGTATTCATGCTTTCACTTGAAAATACATTGCGGAGCACTCGCATACCTGAGGCCCCTATATTTCAGCCTTTTTACGCTGATTCAGCCTTTTTTCAGTCTTTTTTCTTTACCAAGGCTGATTTGTCAGCCTTTTCCCAAAAAAAGTTGGTGATTTTCAAGTGGTTTTTAATGGAAAAGTGGCATTTTTTGCTGATTTTCAGCGTAAATTGCCAGTGAACTCTGTTTTTTCAGCCTACCCTAAAACCCAATCTAGGGGCAGCCAACCACGTGGTTTCGCCGGCCCAGGGGGCCAGCCCGACCCCACTCTCTCAGGCGTTTCAACGAGCGCTCTGCTCCCCCCATTAGTTGCAACACGGCTGCACGTGGTGAAATAGCTCCCAAACCTGTTGGTCATCAGCAACGCACATGCCAGGTGCCAGCTCATGGCTCTCGAGTTGATGAAACGCATTTCATGCGTGCAGGGAGACAAGAAATATACTAGTCATGCAGCAGAGAGTGAAGTAGAGTGTGCAATATCATGAATGGTGCAGCACATACAGCAACCAGGTTGAGAAGACCATGGGTGACAAAGGCCTACCTTGGTGTAGCAGATGCGGCAAGTGCTGCGATCCCTCTCTGCTTCCTGTCACAGTGATGGCAGGCAGATGGGAAAAACAAAGGGTGCGGTCACGCTTAGTGCACCATAGCATGCCATGCTTAAGCAACAAAGGCGCCCGGAATACCACGAGAAAAGCAGCAAAGTCCCAGAATAATTACGCGAGGGTTGAAGGGAAAGGCAGCAGTATAGGTTGCACCAACAGAGACGAAACAGGGGAAAATTGACACCTCTACATCAAGGAAGGAGCAAGGACACAAGAAGAAAGAACAGAGAGTGAGAAAACCCTGAAAGAGCTGGCATTATGAAACAGGAAGAGGAAAAGGAAAAAAGTCGAGGTAGCGGCCAAGAGCAGCAACCGGCATCGAGCAACAACACCCAGTCCAGGGGGGCGTCAATATGGCACCCACCAGCAGAGCCGCAACGGCAGCATGTTGGCTCCTCTCCTCGCCAAGCTCCCTCTCCAGCCGCCCACACCGCTGCTGCCTCACCTCCGCCTCCCGCCTTGCCCTCTGTGCTGCTGCTAGTTCCCTGCGCGCTGCATGCCTGGCAAGCACAGAAGGGACGGGAGGGAGGAAAAGCGAGGGGAAGGAAGAGGAGGTGCAGGAATGGAAGGCAAGACAGTGTTGACGAGAGATGGATGGCATTGAGCATGGCATTGTGCATGGAACGATATGTATGCAACTCTCACCTCCTCCGTCTTCTCCTCTACTCCCAACCCATCCCCACTCTCTTTCCTCTTTTACTCATTAATGCCCTGACACAAGTCCCACTTTACTCACCAAGCACTCTCTCACGAACAAAAACATGTATCCTCTCACCCAGCACACGTTTTCCCACAGACAAGCACACAGATACTATCATCCAGCACACGCTCCCCCCCGCCCACCCCTCCACCCCCCCGCGCACACACAGTCTCCTCTCACCGCTCTCTCTGAATCACGGAGTGCATGGACGTGTCCACCAAACGCAGCAGCCGCTCAGTCGCATGCCGCAGCACCACCAGCTCCCGGTAGCTCGCCAGTTCCGCACGCTGCTCGTCCACCAGCAGGAAAGCGCTGCAGAAGCAAGTCGGCAGTGGTGGTGTGGAGAAGAACAAAAATGAGATTGACGGATGGGTGGGTGGTGTGGTGCCGAACAGTACTTCCTTTCCAATGCATCTTGTCCTTTGCTCAGGAGTGAGAAACCGAACATATGCTTATCTTCCTATTTTCCCAATCAGGATCCATCCTCGGTAAACAAAAGATAACGTTCTCTCACTTCTCATGCGGCTTGTGTAGTGCCTCTTACCTCCCCATCCTGCCTGCATTCTCCTTAAAGCCAGGATCTCAAGTAGTTCAATTGTTTTGCAGTTGGTGAGGGGAGCTGGGCTGCGATTGGTTAGCGAGGTGAACAATCTGACGAGGTGTGAAGCGAGGGGTGCGAAGTAAAGACAAATCGCAAGTTCAGTCCGAACCAAGCAAGGCTCGGAAACTGGTTCGGTGACGAAGCTCCAATGCCTGCAATTTCTCGTCACACACAACAATCTCATGTACCAGCAAAATGTTTTGCATTTGCTCTAGGGGCAAAATCGTGGGTGTGCCGCACGCTCACTTTCCTAACCAGCCAGTCAATTCGCCTACAAAAATAGGGTAACAAGCGCTGCAAGTGTTTTGCAATTGAAGGCCAATTCTCTTGAGATCCTGGCTTTAAAGCAACAGTATACTTTTGCATGCAGGGGTTTCAAAAACCTTAGGAACTTGAAAAACTGGTTACGCGATTACAACCCCAACCCCCTGGTTGACAGGCGAAGTGAGTCCCCAAACACCCCACGTCCGACTCCCCGCACTCCCAGTTCAAAACCTTAGGAATTGCAAAAGGAAACTGAAACTGTGGTAGTGAGAGGATAGCCCACACGCTCCTACTTGGGTAGGTTATTCCGCGTAGACTAGGCAACATTCTAACCGAACAGCTAGATTTAGGGACAGAATCTGTTATTGAACCGCGTAACGCTGTTTGCGCGCATGCGCGAACAAATCGCCACGCCTACGCACTCGCTTAGGCCACGCCACCGTAGACAAGGCCGCCCCACGCCTCCTCTCGCTGCCTCACCGCGAGGCCACTAGCGACAGCGCCTCCCCTCCCCACAGAGTCCCGTTTAGCTTCGACGCGCTAGCATCTGCCATCCCATCCCTTCCTCCACTCCTAGCTTGCCGTTCGCCGTTCGCTGCCGCTGCTTCCCGCTCGCCGCTCGCGTGCCCTCCCTTTCACGTTCGCCGTCCGTCGTTCGCCTTTCGCCGGACGACGTCCGGAGTGAGTCTCCCCTCGCCGAACCACGCTGCCTCGTTCTTTTCTGGTTTATTCCCATTCGCGGCTGCGCGAATGCTTGGTTCATCGGACTTGGCTCTACGTCTCCTCACGCGGCCCCGTCGCGACCACCGCCACGCCTTCTCTCCTTCCCCGCCACGCCATCTCCCCTTCCCGCCACGCCAACTCCCCTTCCCGCCACGTCATCTCCCCTTCCCGCCACGCCATCCCCCCTTCCCGCCACGCCATCCCCCCTTCTCGCCACGTCATCTCTCCTTCCCGCCACGCTATCCCCCCTTCCCGCCACGCCATCTCCCCTTCCCGCCACGCCTTCTCCCCTTCCCGCCACGCCTTCTCCCCTTCCGGACACGCCCTCATTCCCCCCCCCCCCCCCCCCCTGCACGCCCTCGTTTCCCCCCCTGCACGCCCTCATCCTCCCCCCACCACCCTCCCCCCCCCCCCCCCCCCCTCGAACGCCCTCATTTCCCCCCTTGCACGCCCTCATTTCCCCCCCTGCACGCCCTCTTTCGCCCCCCTGCACGCCCTCATTTCCCCCCCTGCACGTTCTCATTTCCCCCCTTGCACGCCCTCATTTCCCCCCCTGCACGCCCTCATTTCCCCCCTTGCACGCCCTCATTTCCCCCCCTGCACGCCCTCATTTCCCCCCCTGCACGCCCTCATTTCCCTCCCTGCACGCCCTCATTACCCCCCCCTGCACGCCCTCATTTCCCTCCCTGCACGCCCTCATTACCCCCCCCTGCACGCCCTCATTTCCGCCCCTGCACGCCCATCACCCCACCCCTGCCTTCACATCTCCTCTTCCTTGCCCTTCACTTGCCTTCCCTTCCCTCGGCTCCCCTTCCCTACCAGCCCTTCCGCTTCCAGACCCTGCAGTCAATCACCCGTCCCTTTTTGTCTCGCGTCACTTCCGTTGCTGCTCTTCCAACCCTGCCCCTCACTTACACACAATGTGAGTCCCAACCAGTCCATCCCCTCTCTTTCTGCCCTCCTCTTCTCGTCCATCCGCCCTCTCACACTCGTCACGCCTCCCCACGCACTCTTCCTGCCATTCTCACTCTCGCGCCGCCGCCATCCCTCCCTGCCTTCCCATCACACCTCCCTGCCTTTCCATCACACCTCCCTGCCTTCCCGCCACACGTCCCTGCCTTGCCTCCCATGGGTTTGGGGCCCCATTATTTACAGCTGCGACACCAAGCACGACAACGCCTGGCCCAAGCGAGATTGGCATCGTGAAGGGAGGGGCATTAGGTTGCTTGCAGGAGTGTGTCGTGGCATGAAGATGACACCAAGGGTAGAGGATAGTGCTGTTTAGTATACCTGGAGATTATTTTATGTGCACATACAACTCGAAAAGCTCCTTTTTTTCAACATCATTGCTGTGCTAATTTTCAAACGTAGAGATGGCTTACTGAAAGAAAGACATCTAGAAGACAGATCATGTGATACATATCGGATGCATGTGAACATCATGTGCAATATAAACGTGTTGTAACATTCAACCGAATTCAACACTGAGTGGGAGCACATGCAAGCCTAGACTGAAGGAAACTGGTCCATCTTCTTCCGTGCTGCACGCGAGAACCCTCAGTATGGAAAGGGAAGGCGGTAAACACAGCACTGGAGGTGGAAAGTGGAAACAGTGGGTAGAGGGCAAGAGGGAGGGTAAAGGGAGGAGGGAGCATAAGCAGGGTAAAAAGGGAGGACCGAGAATAAGCAAAGTCGAAGGAGCTGATTGGGGTGTAAGGGGGTGGAGAGGCACAGAGGCAAGCAGATGGGGAAAATGAGGGAAAGGTGGGTGAAAAATACGGAAGCAGGGGGGGGAAAGGAGGGGAAGCAGTGGTGGAAAGGAGGGGATGCAGTGGGGGGAAGGGAGAAAATCATTGGGGAAGGAGGGGAATCACCGAAGGAAAGGAGGGGAAGCAGGAAAGGAGGAGAAGCAGGGGGGGAAAGGAGGTAAAGCAGGGGGGGAAAGGAGGGCAAGCAAGGGGGGAAAAGGAGGGGATGCAGGGGGGGAAGGGAGGAGAAGAAGGGGGGGAAAGGAGGGGAAGCAAGGGGGAAAGGAGGGGAAGCAGGAAAGGAGGGGAAGCAGGGGGGGAAAGGAGGGGAAGCAGGGGGGGAAAGGAGGGGAAGCCGTGGGGGAAAAGGGGAGAAGCGTGGGGGGAAAGGAGGGGAAGCAGGGGGGGAAAGGAGGGGAAGCCGTAGGGGAAAAGGGGGGAAGAAGGGGGGGGGGGAAGGAGGGGAAAAATGGGGCTAGCATGGGGGGAAACATAGGGCCAGCAGTAGGGGGGTGACATGGGGCTAAGAGGGCGGAAACATGGGGCTAGCATGGGGGGAAGTATGGGGCTAGCAGGGGGGGAAATGGGGCTGGCAGGGGGGAAAAATGGGGCTGGCAGGGGGGAAAAATGGGGCTGGCATAGGGGGAAATATGGGGCGCAGGGGGGGAAATGGGGCTGGAGCGCGCGTGCTTGCAACCGCGTGCTGATTGATGACGCGCGAGCGTCATCTGCGCTCGCTGTGCAGGCGCGCGCGCTATGCAGGCGCGTACCGCTTTTCTGCGCGCGTTTTGCTGGCGCGCGCTGCTATGCTGAGCGCGCATTGCTGACGCGCGCTGCGCTGTCTCGCGCGGAATGCAGGCGTGCGTTCGAGGCTCGAGGAGAGCGCGCAACTGCTGCTGCACAGGCTTCTGCTTATGCGCGGGCTAATCCTGGCTAAGGGCGACGGGCCAGCTGGCTGGCGGAGGAGTGCAAATACCTCCCCACGTGAAATGTGTATTTTCTGAATGCACGAAGCCATTGCGGGGAGCGCGTCGAATGCCCCTCGTAGTGGCGCATTAGATAGGTTTCGACGGGCGCTAAGTATTCAATACGGCGGATTGAGGCGAATGCCTCTGTGCCATCGTCCGAGTGCATTGCGTCGAAATATTAGTGCACGTGGGGGAGATGGCGGGCGTTTTTGCTGGTCGCTTTTTAACCGTCGCCTGCTCTGCACATGGCTAATTACTCACCCGCGACTACCTATGTGTGTGGTCGCGCTCCAGGTCTAGCAACCACTAGCCCACTCCTTAGGTACTTCTACCAGTTCTGATAGCTACTAGTCTCTTCGAAGCGTGCCAGCGAGGCAGGTGAGTTCGGTTTGTGACTGACAAGACAACCTCCCCACCCAACCCTTGTTCCCTCACAACAGTGCCGCCTCAGTTTTTCGCCAACACCCTCGCCAGTCTGTTTTTTGTTTCGTTGAGGCGTATCCCCCTCAGCACACTGTACAAAACAAATAGTACTTTCAAATGTATACTGCTGCTTTAATCAACAACACCTCCGTTCCTCACGCGTCTCGCAATATTCTCTTCTCACCCACCCTGCACTGTCCCCGTCTCACCCGTTCTGCACGGTGCGCATGAAATCGAGGTTCTTCTCATATGGTCGGTACAGCTCCTCCAGAGCCCGCCTCGCTATTGAATTATATTGCATATCTTATAACTGCCTACAGCTAGCTAGTGTACTAGTTTAGGTATTAGCATCAACTGCTGGTGGTGTACCCTCCCTTTTGCCCATTCCTATATCTTGTATTCATTCCATAGTGAAACTCCTCTTTTGGCCAACTTCCCTCTCCATGGTTCTCCTTGCTGAACCTCTCCAAAACCCTAGTTCCTAATCTCCTAAGTTTCCTAACTACTATGGTTCTCAACATGGTATTAAGAGCTGGGTCCTTCTAAGGACCTTGTTATTTTTCATTCGCCATGGCTGCCATCGTTGCCATGGCGACCGTTGCTGCGCCCTTCGAGGCGCTCGCCCGTTGCCTGCCCCGCGCTGAACGCCCCGTGCTACCCGCCCCACGCGCTGGTCGCCCCGTCCCGCGCGCTGTCGCGTCGCCCCGTCGCTGGTCGCGGACGCCAGCACCAGCGCCTCTGACCGTCGCTGACGCCAGCGCGAGCGCCAGCGACGTGCGCCAGCGCCAGCGACTGTCGCCAGCGCCAGCGCCAGCGCCGGTCCCCAGCGCCAGCGCCAGCGTCAGCGCCAGCGCCAGCGGCATGCGCCAGCGCCGGTCGCGAGCGCCAGCGCCAGCAGCGGCCGCCAGCGCCCCTGCCATCGCCACCCCGCTCCCCGCCTCCGCACCTGCCGTCGCTCTCTTCTACGGTGGACGTTGCGGGGGGGAGGTGGCGAGGCTCGCGCCCGCGGCTACGGGGGTGCTTAAGCCCCCTTGAACCCTCCTGCCCCTCCCTAATCCTCCTCCTCATCGCTGCCCGTGCATCTGCAGTTCGTGCCGCGTTTGGGGGGGGGGGGGGGAAGAGGGTGTGGGGGTGGCGGGTATGTGCAGGCAGCCGCCTCCCCCTTCTCCTCCTCCTTCCGCTGCACTTCCTCTCCTCCTCCTCCTCTCCTCTCCTCCAGCCGCATCTCCTCCTCTCCTCTCCTCCAGCCGCATCTCCTCCTCCTCTCCTCTCCTCCAGTCGCATCTCCTCCTCCTATCTCCTCTCCTCCAGCCGCATCTCCTCCTCCTCTCCTCTCCTCCAGCCGCATCTCCTCCTCCTCTCTTCTCCTCCAGCCGCATCTCCTCCTCCTATCTCCTCTCCTCCAGCCGCCTCTCCTTTGCTCTCCTCCTGTGCACCACCAGCAGCTTCCTCCTCCTCACCAACAGTTGTGTTTGCTCGTAGATGGCGAGCGACCAGCATCCTTCGCCCTCCGGCTATCCCAGCCCTCCTCCGCGCTCTCCGCGCCCTCCTCCGTCCTGGCGTTCACAGGTGCTGCCGGTCAGCCACCGCTGTTTCTGTGCTTATCCCAGCTACAGCAACCGCTCTCCAGGCGACCTGGTGCCAGGCACCACTAGCTATAGCCGTAGGCAGTTACGGGGGTGTGTTGAATTATATTGCATATCTTATAACTGCCTACAGCTAGCTAGTGTACTAGTTTAGGTATTAGCATCAACTGCTGGTGGTGTACCCTCCCTTTTGCCCATTCCTATATCTTGTATTAATTCCATAGTGAAACTCCTCTTTTGGCCAACTTCCCTCTCCATGGTTCTCCTTGCTGAACCTCTCCAAAACCCTAGTTCCTAATCTCCTAAGTTTCCTAACTACTATGGTTCTCAACACTCGCTGCCACCTCCTCAAAACCAAAGTGCTCCTCCGCCTCCATGCACAGGCGGTCCTGTGCAGACAAATTGCGGAAATAATAAATACCAGCTTATAACTACGACATTGCCCGCCTGGTCGTTCGACCAAACGGGCAGCTTCCAGTGCCAATCCGTAGCCGATTTTATGTTGTTGTTCTGCATTTGAAAACACACTTGCACCAATGAAGGATCTTGCCCCATACCTGAAGCTGAGCTTCGTTCCACTTTCTCAACTCTTCCTCTTGATCAAAAGTCTGAATTCAGATATTATAGAAAAAAAAACGGAAATGTGAACAGGAAGAAAGAGGAAGAGAAGGAAACCAGGAACTTGAAACGAGGTTCAGGGTCTAAGTCACGAAACACGCTAAACAAGGAGAAGCAATAACGGCCAGACAAGGAAAAATGTCAAATTATGTTGGACGAGACTGATGCTGGAAAAACGAACACTATTAAATTGGAAGTACAAGCTGCTTGGTCAAGGAATGCAAGATCTCACGACAATCACAAATGCATAGAAGAAGAAGAAAAAAAAAAGAGCCATACTTCCTTGTATCTCCCTGTGGCTTCTCCGCTCTCCGTCCTTGCAAGGCAGGATATCCTTCAATGCATATTTCAGCACAAAATTTTGTGTGAATATTAATCATGGCCGAGAATAAGAAAGTCTAACCTCTACTTCGTCGGTTACTTCTATCGGCGGTGGACCGAGTTACATTTGTTGTGTGGTTTGTTCAGCAGTAGAGTGAGTGGGCTAGGCTATAGGTGGGGGGGAAGCAGGAGTGATTGGCCGCTTCCCTTGTTGCTGTCAGGTTTCCGAGTTAGCGTCAGCTGGACGATATCCCCGTTTCAAGGGCTGTCAATAATTATTATCATCACAGGTATCCAACATGAACCAGCCTAAACGCAGAATCCAATAAAAACTGGAAGTAACACTGCACCCAGTGTGGAAAGAACATACAGGGGGAGGCAAAATGTGCATCCAACAAGGCAAACTAGAATACAATGTCCTACGTAACAATCATCAAGCGTGCACCCTAGCGCACGTCATATCTACAATCAGGCACCAATACGAAACCACATAAATGTATGCCACAAGCACTCATCACAACCGCCTCAAGTTGTCTAACCGTGCCTGCAAGTCACTGTCAATCCCGAAATCATCCGACGCACCCCCAACCGACGGGGCTGCTGATGGGGCACTGGGCATACCGCCACCCCCACCCCCTCCACCACCACTGCCGCCACCATCGCCACCGCTGCTGCCACCACGACCCATCCCCCCTCCCCCTCCTCCTCCACCACCGCCCCCACCAGCACCCACTGCATCAGCCTGTGCCACCTTGCCTGTTGTCTGTGCTTGGGGCGCTGCTGGTGTTGGCGCATTCATGAGCTGATAAGGGACGAGGAAATGGGGGGGGGGGGAGGAGGGGGGGAAGGAAGGGGGGGGGGTTAAGATGGGAGGATATGGTGTGAGAAGCGAGCAGTGGCAGAGGATTGCAGAGGAGGGATTAGAAAAGCAGACATGTGTAAGGTCACGGCATTGCCATGAACACATTATCACAAACCAGCAATACAACGGGACAGTGCCAGGGAATTGAAGAGGGCAGCATGCATGACAGCACAGGACAGAAGCACTCTCACTGCATGTTCCGAGGAGCACCCGCCTGCTGGCCATTCGGAAAGAGACCCTCCTGCTCCAAAGGACACACATGCTCGAGGAAACACCCACCTGCTGGTTGATGTCGATGCCGATCTCATCCAGCAACTCATTGATCAGCTCCTCCGTCTACTCCTCCTCCTTGTCGAGCCGACTAGAGCACCCACCTGCTCGCCAAACCCTAAACATACAACTGCTCCAGGCAGTGCCACTGCAGGGAGCACCCACCTGCTGGTTGATGTCAATGCCGATCTCGTCCAGCACCTCATTGATCAGCTCCTCCGTCTCCTCCTCCTCCTCGTCGCCCTCCATGGCATCGTCTATGGCGTCGCCCATCATCTCTGATGTCATCTCCATGCGCTCATTCGCCATCTCAAACTCCCGCATCACCTGCACACACAAGGGCACACGGACGTGGAAGCATACAAAATAGTTCGGGGTGTGTGAGAGCGGTGCCTCTCAGTGCCTCAGATGTCATCTCCATGCGCTCATTCGCCATCTCAAACTCCCGCATCACCTGCACCCAACAGCCAAACACATACATGGAACCACACAACACGTTGGGTTGTACAATCACCAAGGTACCCAAAGCCTCCAATGTCATATTTGTAAGCTCATTGGCCATCTCACTCACACTCTACATAACCTCAAATCTGTTAAAAAAATGTCAGAATGTGCAGGGGCCAAGGTTGCACATGGCATGAAAGACCCGAGATCCAGCCACCAGAAATAAAAAATAAGACAAAATGGGTTTAATGTAGAAAATAAAAACAGACCAACTCACGCAGGTCCTGAGCAGTTCTTGGATCATTAAAGGCTATGAAGCTAGCATGTCC